CAGTTGTGGGCGTAAGAACTAGTAACCGGTTCCTTTTGTCCGGGCTGCACCTTAATGACAGTTGGTGTGCAGGAATCAAATATAATGTTTTCTTTCAATTATAATCAATAAGAACCAAAGTGGGTAGGTTACCAACTAGGGAAAATTGTCTCAAGGTGTTAATAACAAGGGGAAAATGTGTCCAGGCCCCAAAAGCAAAAACTTCATGTGACAAAGCCCATCATATTTTTCCCCATATGGATCAGCCCCTTGAAGTGTGACACTTTGTACTGCAGCCTCTTTTTATTAATTATCACATGTCAGCTAAAGTAAAATTCTCAAACTATCCTTATCCTCTCTCCTCTCTGACCCAGCACTCACATCATCTCTCTCTCATCTCTCCTCTCTCTCTCTCTCATCTCCTCTCTCTTTCTCTCTCTCTCTCTCTCTCTCTCACATCTCTCTAAAACTAATAGCTTTATTAAGCTCGTCGTCCTGGCCGAGACGCACAGAGCATTAATCTATTAGCTAGAAGAAGAAAAGAAAAAAAGAAAAAAAGAAAAAAGAAAGGTAAGGAGAAGTAGAGTAGAAGGGGAATGAAGAGAAATATCGTAATTAAGAAATAACGAAAATGTGTATTAATGTATCTCTATGAATGAAATTGCCACGGTGCCGCCGAGCGATATTCGAAACAATATAACGAGAGGTAGAAAATGAGCCCAAATGAAAAAAAGATACCGTGTGATAGACAATATAAAGGTCTACACACCGGCGCAGACGGTAGTGAAAACGGAGACTGGAGTTGGCCGTAAAACACGCGCGAAGTCGGCACGGCGCTGCTGTTTTCTGCTCACTGCTGCCGCCGAGCGATGTTTCGGATGTTACCGAGAGATATAGAGAATGAGTTAGAGCGTGATACAAATTGGAGGTGATAGGCAACATGTAGGGCTACTCACCAAAGAAGAAATCGGCGAAAACGGAGATTGGAGACGATCAGAAAGTGCGTACGAAGTCGGCACAAAACTATAGTTCTAGCCCACATCCCACCAGTTCTAACTTGTATCCCACCAGTTCTAACTTGTATCCCACCAGTTCTAGCCCACATCTTGCTAGTTCTAATCAAAATCCTTGTTTTTTTCATGCTAAGTTGTTAATTATAGGTTCCACGTTAGTTCTAACCCACATCCCACCAGTTCTAACTTGTATCCCACCAGTTCTAGCCCACATCTTGCTAGTTCTAATCAAAGCCCTTGTTTTTTTCATGCTAAGTTGTTAATTCTGGGTTCCACGTTAGTTCTAGCCCACATCCCACCAGTTCTAACTTGTATCCCACCAGTTCTAGCCCACATCTTGCTAATTCTAATCAAAGCCCTTGTTTTTTTCATGCTAAGTTGTTAATTATAGGTTCCACGTTAGTTCTAGCCCACATCCCACCAGTTCTAACTTGTATCCCACCAGTTCTAGCCCACATCTTCCTAGTTCTAATCAAAGCCCTTGTTTTTTTCATACTAAGTTGTTAATTCTGGGTTCTACGTTAGTTCTAGCCCACATCCCACCAGTTCTAACTTGTATCCTACCAGTTCTAGCCCACATCCCATCAGTTCTAACTTGTATCCTACCAGTTCTAGCCCACATCTTGCTAGTTCTAATCAAAGCCCTTGTTTTTTTCATGCTAAGTTGTTAATTCTGGGTTCCACGTTAGTTCTAGCCCACATTCCATCAGTTCTAACTTGTATCCTACCAGTTCTAGCCCACATCTTGCTAGTTCTATTCAAAACCCTTGTTTTTTTCATGCTAAGTTGTTAATTATAGGTTTCACGTTAGTTCTAGCTCACATCCCACCTGTTCTAACTTGTATCCCACCAGTTTTAGCCCACATCTTGCTAGTTCTAATCAAAGCCCTTGTTTTTTTCATGCTAAGTTGTTAATTCTGGGTTCCACGTTAGTTCTAGCCCACATCCCACCAGTTCTAACTTGTATCCCACCAGTTCTAACTTGTATCCCACCAGTTCTAGCCCACATCTTGCTAGTTCTAATCAAAGCCCTTGTTTTTTTTATGCTAAGTTGTTAATTCTGGGTTCCACGTTAGTTCTAGCCCACATCCCACCAGTTCTAACTTGTATCCCACCAGTTCTAGCACACATTTTGCTAGTACTAATCACAACCCTTGTTTTTTTCATGCTAAGTTGTTAATTATAGGTTCCACGTTAGTTCTAGCCCACATCCCACCAGTTCTAACTTGTATCCCACCAGTTCTAGCCCACATCTTGCTAGTTCTAATCAAAGCCCTTGTTTTTTTCATGCTAAGTTGTTAATTCTGGGTTCCACGTTAGTTCTAGCCCACATCCCACCAGTTCTAACTTGTATCCTATTAGTTCTAGCCCACATCTTGCTAGTTCTAATCAAAGCCCTTATTTTTTTCATGCTAAGTTGTTAATTTTGGGTTCCACGTTAGTTCTAACCCCACATCCCACCAGTTCTAACTTGTATCCCCCAGTTCTAGCCCACATCTTGCTAGTTCTAATCAAAGCCCTTGTTTTTTTCATGCTAAGTTGTTAATTATAGGTTCCACGTTAGTTCTAGCCCACATCCCACCAGTTCTAACTTGTATCCCACCCGTTCTAGCCCACATCTTGCTAGTTCTAATCAAAGCCCTTATTTTTTTCATGCTAAGTTGTTAATTCTGGGTTCCACGTTAGTTCTAGCCCATATCCCACCAGTTATAACTTATATCCCACCAGTTCTAGCCCACATCTTGTTAGTTCTAATCAAGTTAGAACTGGTGGGATGTGGGCTAGAACGTGGAACCCAGAATTAACAACTTAGCATGAAAAAAACAAGGGCTTTGATTAGAACTAGCAAGATGTGGGCTAGAACTGGTGGGATACAAGTTAGAACTGGTGGGATGTATGCTAGAACTAACGTGGAACCTATAATTAACAACTTAGCATGAAAAAAATAAGGGCTGTGATTAGAGCTAGCAAGATGTGGGATAGAACTGGTGGGATACAAGTTAGAACTGGTGGGATGTGGGTTAGAACTAACGTGGAACCCAGAATTAACAACTTAGCATGAAAAAAACAAGGGCTTTGATTAGACTAGCAAGATGTGGGCTAGAACTGGTGGGATACAAGTTAGAACTGGTGGGATGTGGGCTAGAACTAACGTGGAACCCAGAATTAACAACTTAGCATAAAAAAACAAGGGCTTTGATTAGAACTAGCAAGATGTGGGATAGAACTGGTGGGATACAAGTTAGAACTAGTGGGATACAAGTTAGAACTGGTGGGATGTGGGCTAGAACTATAGTTTTGTGCCGACTTCGCACGCACTTTCTGATCGTCTCCAATCTCTGTTTTCGCCAATTTCTTCTTTGGTGAGTAGCCCTACATGTTGCCTATCACCTCCAATTTGTATCACGCTCTAACTCATTCTCTATATCTCTCGGTAACATCCGAAACATCGCTCGGCGGCAGCAGCGAGCAGAAAACAGCAGCGCCGTGCCGACTTCGCGCGTGTTTTACGGCCACCTCCGGTCTCCGTTTTCACTACCGTCTGCGCCGGTGTGTAGCCCTTTATATTGTCTATCACACAGTATCTTTCTTTCATTTGAGCTTATTTTCTACCTCTCGTTATATTGTTTCGAATATCGTTCGGCGGCACCATGGCAATTTCATTCATAGAGATACATTAATACACATTTTCGTTATTTCTTAATTACGATATTTCTCTTCATTTCCCTTCTACTCTACTTCTCCTTACCTTTCTTTTTTCTTTTTTTTTCTTCTTCTAGCTAATTTCTAGCTAATAGATTAATGCTCTGTGCGTCTCGGCCAGGACGACGAGCTTAATAAAGCTCTTAGTTTTAGAGAGAGGTGAGAGAGAGAGAGAGAGAGAGAGAGAGAGAGAGAGAAAGAGAGAGGAGATGAGAGAGAGAGAGAGAGATGATTTGAGTGCTGGGTCAGAGAGGAGAGAGGATAAGGATAGTTTGGGGATTTTACTTTAGCTGGCATGTGATAATTAATAAAAAGGGGCTGCAGTACAAAGTGTCACACTTCAAGGGGCTGATCCACATGGGGAAAAATATGAGGGGCTTTGTCACATGAAGTTTTTGCTTTTGGGGCCTGGACACATTTTTCCCTAATAACAATAAGCTTATGTGATCCAGCCCCTCCATCTTTTCTTCAAGTGGATCGCCCTTAAAAATGTCACTTCATGTGATTCAGCCATTTATTTCATGTCAACCAAGCACTAAGAGAGAGAAACAAATAGAAAAGTCAAAAATACCATTATTTCTTCCTCTCTCTTCTCTCCAGATCTAAATCTGCTCCTCCTTCCTCCTCTCTCCTAACCCATTTCCTTCCTCCTCTCTCTCCCTTCCTCCTTTTTCTCTCAGACACTGACATCCCCCTTCGCCACCGTCGGCCATTCCAGACAAATTGTTCGTTCCTTTTCTCCCACTAATTTTCCTAGCTCTCTCTTTTTTTTACCCCAAAACTAAAAAAACCCCAAATTCGTTGGAGTTCTAGTCGGAGGATGCGTTAAAGAATAGATCGGTTTCCGACACTGAAGGCGAAGAGGTGGCGGAGAACGAGGCAGAGGAGACGATGACAGAGGAGGACGAGGGGGAGCTCGAGGCCGTCGCAAATTCAAGACCTCTAAGCTATTGGTTTTTTTGGCAATTTTTTATATTAAGTTCAAGTCCAAGATGGAATATTAAGCCTAATGAGTTAGAAGTGAAGTCCAATGACTTATATGTTAAGTCTATTGGGTTGAATAATAAGTCCAATGTCTTATATGTTAAGTCTATTGGGTTGAATAATAAATATAATTTGTTGAATATTAATTAATGGATTA